CCCTCAGCACATGTATGGGATGGGGATGAGAGATCAACCAAAGGACTTGTATGCATGCACATAAGCATAACCAATGGACACACGACACTGGGGAGTGGGATGGGGTGAGGGCATGTATGATATAGCTTCTTGAAAACCACCCTCCACTAGAGAAATGAGTGAAATAAAAATTAAGCAGGAAATGGATAAAAGACATAAGGACAGAAAAGGTACAAATAAATCTAATAGAGGGATAGAGTCTCAATAAGTTTTAAAAAGCAAGTTACTGTATATATATTCTTAGCACCACACAAGAAAACTGAAGAGGGATTTCTGTGATGGTAGAAAGGCTATTTGAACAAAGCCTCCTTCTAAAAGTTCAGGAAAAGCTAATTTGATATAAAAAACAAAAAGTAATACCCTAGCTCGTTTGGCTCAGTAGGTTCGTTTCTGGTCAAGGGCACATGCCCGTGTGGTGGGCTTGATCCCTGGTGGGGGCCATGCCGGAGGCAGCCGATCAATGATTCTCTCTCATCATTGATGTTTCTCTCTTTCTCCCCATCTTCCTTTCTCTCTGAAATCAACAAAAATATATAAAATATAAAAATATAAAATAAAAAATAACAGAAAAGTACAGAGATCAAATCTTATTCTAGATTATTATAAGATACAAAAGGGATAAGCAGAATAATATCCTTATTGACTTCCCATGTTATGTTTGCAATGATACTGCTTAGACTGTGCAGATAGTCATATCAAAGCTGGTCAGCCCAAAAACCATTATAAACTATCACCTACACTTCATTTTCAATTTATACAGAACAGAATGTGTTTCTGAGCTGTAAATGATGATTTGTGTGGATGAGAATTATTAATGTGGATCTTAAGACATAGTGGCTACTTCGCCTAGTAAGTGTCTCACTGAGTTTAAGAGCCAGTTGTATGAAAAGTCCTGAGCAACTCAACTAGAAGGCGGTGATTGGGTTTCCTGGATAAACTCTTCTTACTCCCTACATTGTGTGGCCTATGAATTGACATGCAGACAAAGGAGAGAGCTAGTGAATGCTAGGAGGAAAAAAGATAAACTTTAACCATAATTTATCAGTAATGTGTAGAGATAAATACCTCAGAGGAAATAAGGTCTGAGGAAATTACAGGAAATATTAAATCTATGATTCTGTTTACGGTAGAAATGCTGACCAACAAATTCCAGCTGTTTTTCTGTGGGTTATGGAAGTGTCACAGGTCTGTTTATAGTTAACTGCATTGTAGACTCCAGCCTAGGTCTTAAGGAATCTCTTTGGTTGGGTTTGGCTTTACTTAGATTTGTCTAAAGAGACATTTTTCTATTGGCAATGCATTTATGGACTGTAGCCCTATACCAACTTTTTATTTCCATAACTTCTATTTTAATTTCTTCTCCCTCCTTGCCAACAGTTTGCCTCACCAGAAATGTTAGCATAGTTTTATTTATTTAGCATTTATGTAGCACTTACTAGTACAATGAACCTTTAAAGTATTAATACTTTAATTTTTCATGACAAGCTTAAGAGCTAGATACTATTTTTAAAACCAACTTGAAAAGCAGTCTCAAAGGACAAAGAATAATGAAGTGAATAAAACTAAAGACAATCAAAAGGCTAGAAGAAGAAATCTGGAATGCATATAGCTAGTAAAGGATTTGTTTATAGGATATTTCGACTCTGAGAAGGTACCTGTTGAGAAGGGTCTAAAGAAGACACTAGACATATGAAAAGATGATCAATGTCACTAATCATCAAATAAATGCAAATAAATATGACAGTAAGATATACGTTCACATTTGTCAGAATGGCTATTATCCAATAAATCAACCGACAATAAGTGTTGGCCCATATGTGTGCTGTTGGTGGTAATACAAACTGGTGTAGCCACTGTGGAGAGCAGTTTGGTGTTACCTCCACAGATTGAAAATGGAACTAACCTTATGACCTAGTTATTCCACTTCTGGGAATTCATCTTAAGAACTGAAATACTATTATAAAAACATATATGCATCCCTATGTTCATTGTAGCATTATTTACAATACCCAAGGTGTAGAAGCAGCCCAAGTGTTCATCAGTAGATGAGTGGGTTAAAAGCTGTGGTATTTTTACACAATGAAATACTACTTGGCCATAAAAAAGACTGAAATCTTACTCTTTGGGAATACATGTTTGGCCCTGGAGACCATTATGCTAAGTGAAGTAACCCTGCCAGGGAAAGATAAGTACCATATGAATTCCACTCATAGGTGGAATCTAATGAATAAAATAAACTAGCAAATGAAATAGAAACAGATTCATAGATAGAGAACAGACTGACATCTGTCAGAGGGGAGGAGGTTTGGGGCTGGGTGAAAAAGGTGAAGGGATTAAGCAAAAAAAACCCAACATACAAACTTATAGACACAGATAATTGATTATCAGAGGAAAATGAGGGTAGGGGAAGCAGAAGAGGATATAAGGAGGATAAATGAGAATGGAAAGAATCTTGGTTTGTGTGGTGAACAAACAACACAATATACAGATTATGTATTATAGAATTGTGCATATTTCCTTTTCAGTGACTGTTATATATATATACATATACATATACATATTTACATACATATATGCACTTTTATTGATTTCAGAGAGTGAGAGGAAGAGAGACAGAAACATCAATGATGAGAGAGAATCATTGATAAGCTGCCTCTTGTACATCCTTCCTTGGGGATCAAGCCTGAAATTGGGCATGTGCCCTGACCTGGAATCGAACTGTGACCTCCTGGTTCAGAGGTCAAAGCTCAACCACAAGCCACACCATCCAGGCTCGAATTATATTTTGAGTTTGGAGGCTCTAGCTTTGAGGATCACTAAACTGGATCTAGGGACACCCTACTTGTCTTATCTTTCAGATTGTGTTTCCTTGTGGTTTAGATCAGCTTTTTATAATTTTTTAGCAGAATTTTTGTGGCTAATAAAACATGCGCTTAATAACTTTTTCCTTTTTTGCACAGATAAAGGAAAGGATTCTACATCAGATTAGAACAAGAGATAGATTTTCAGTAGGAAATGACGGAGATATCCTCTGGGAGGAGTGGAATGCAGACATGCTCTGTCTCCGAGTTTAAAGCATCTATGAGCAATTCCACACCCACACCCACACAAACCCACAAACAGTGGTCACAACTGCGTCTCCAGAAGCTGCCTCTCTCCCGTCTCATTTCCAAAGTGCATCCACTGTTTTCCATAACATAAAATAAATCCCTCTCTTTTGCCCAGTGGTGAAAAGCTTATATAAATACTAAAACTTCAACTATCCCCTTGAGCTTTCTCTTGGCAAGCCTGCAGCTATGGGTTTGTTTGGTTATTGACATATGTTTTCTGTGTAGATCTTCCAGGCCACTTGGGTGAGCCCAGTGGTGATAAATGCACTTGTCTGGAAAATTTAGCAGACTAATCATTATAACACTCTGTTTATGAAAGCTTAAATAATTAACACTCTGAGTGAAAAGGCTCTATATTTGAAGTATCTCTTTTATTCTTTCAACATACATCATTTTGGTGATATATAATTATATAAATCTTTGAAAGTCTTAGCCAGGAGATGACTTTAACAGTCATTGAAAAGAAAATATGGATGTGAAGGATTGGTTAATGCAAGACATTTAATCTTGCATTGCGGTGTTCCCATGAAGGAATATTTTTCAGTATTTGGGAGTGACATATTTTATTGTGTGCTAACTAGGGATAATTAACATTACTAATTTATAATTAAAAATTTATAATGAAAAAATATTTCTCATAATGAGGAGGCATTATATTTTCAGACAATAACCAAGACGTTCTGTAGCTGGTTGTAGAATAAGTGGATGCATGAATAGGAATAACTATATTCCTAAAATGTAGTATTACCTACACAAAACATTATCAGATTCTTATATGGAAATGTTAATGTAAAATAATAATGTAAATTATTTGATATGAATATATAAACATTATAGTTTGTGTAGTAGTCTATCTTTTAGAGAATACATTAATTCAAAGTTTTTTTTTTCTTTCTTTGTATCTACTAGAAGACAATCAGAAAACTGTCCTCAAAGTTTTGATAGTGTTTTTACACTTTTTCTATAGTGGAAGAAGTCCACTTCTCTAATATAATTTTCCATGGAATCTGTTGATCTGAGATGAATTCTAGCTATGTATAAGAGAGTTGAGTAGAAGTCTTTGAATACCAAACATTTCTACTCTATTTGCACTAGTGAAGTAATTTACTTGCTGCCAGTAATCTACCTTAGCTAATGCTTTTAATGCTTTTCACCTCAATTGTTACTTTAAAAATAATTTATTTTAACAATTAGCAATTCTAAAGTTTTTCATATACTGTATATAAACTATGACTGTTTTTGAGGATCCAAGAGTCTGCTCTGTCTTAAAAGAGAAGAAATATAAAACAGTAAATTTCATTAATGAATTAGGTTCCCTTTCCTCCCTTATAGAGAAAATGAAAACAATCAAATAAGCATTTATATCTATGAACTTCAGTTTTAAGTTATACTAAAAACAAAACAAAGGTAAAGGTCTTTAATGAATTCATTTGGATAACCTGAGATATCAGTCTTTATAAGTAATGTATAACTTTGTTCTGATTAGTAAGTCACAATATGGACAAATAATTAAGATTATTTTTAGTAATGGCTATTAAGTCTGATGCACTTGGAATGTAATGGTGATAAAACAAGTTTTAAAACAACCACAATAGTTTATTTTTTGTTTAGAGGAGTAATATAGGATATCAATGTCTATGCCTGAGACTTATTACTTTGCCCAATAATATGATATTCTCAAAATGATAGCCACAGGCCAGCTCCTCCACACCCCCAACCAGGGATTGAGCCTGAAATTCAGGCCTGTGCCCTAACTGGGATCAAACAATGATCTTCTGGTTTATAGGTTGATGCTCTGGACGGACATCTTCTTTAGAGTATAAAAATGCATCTTTTTTGGTCTCTTTCTAGGTTTGAAGAAGAAATGACCAGCAAGTGGTTACATCTCTTTGAAGGCAGTAAGGTCCCCTATGGCCCAATAAACAATATGAAGAATGTATTTGCAGAACCTCAGGTTTGATTTTTGAAGTTTTTATTACACCATGATTAAAACAAAAATTTGCTTTTGTTTTCTATCCAGATTGATTCATATAAATATAAATTAGTCATTAGTCTTACACTTTAATCATATAACTTGATATTTTATTGTTATGTTAAACTATGGGTATGAAATAGAAAGACTTAGAATTTAAAATGAGCTGTCTACAATCATACTTTTATGTTTACCAGATTGAACATATTTCTTCAGCCACCACTACATAAAATTTCCAAGGTCAGGGCATTTTTCCCTTGAAAAATAGAAATATAGACCACTGAGATGTTGGGTCAGACATTCAGAAAACATCCTCTGTAAAAAGAAATATGAGAACTTTCACAGTTACAGCCTATTTCTCATAATATGGGTCTCTTAAAGTGTACAAAGCAAGGCATAGTTAATTCTGCAAATGAGAGGCTTTTATATGCTTTGATTAATGTGTGTTATTCATGAAGAATAAATTGTACTTGAATAGAGATTTGTGCTTTACCTTGATACAGGCTCCTTAGTGGGGCAAAGGAAAAAGGGTCAACTGAAAAACAACACAGTTCTTCCATAATATTGTTTAAATAGTTATTTTTAGATAGTGTCAAAATAATGTTTTTATTTTAATCAATATCATGGCAAGCAATTTATAATTTCTGAGATTCATATATTAATCCCAAAAGCTAGAACTCCATTTCTCTGGGAATGTTTCACTGTGATTATTTTTACACCTTATCAGTTTTCAAAGTTTTGAATTTCTAGATTTTAAAAAATTCTTTTGATTTATATAGTGGCAGATATTCTTTGAAATGCATTGTTGAAAAATGGAATACACTTTTTAAGCTAAGAGAACTTAGTTGAAAACTGACCTAACCCTTTACTTTGGTACCGTTATCTTACATATATAATATATATATATTTAAAAGAAAATGTAATGATTTAATTCAATGTTTACAATATTTACTGAAGAAAAAAAGTGAATGAATTCAGAAATTTTGTTCTGTGCTATTTTTCAGCCAAGACTGAATATGGCAAAGCTTTGTCTATAATAAAATAACGAATGGTCAATAAGTATTTGAAATGAAAGAGCCCACTTGATACTCACTGAGTTTATGGGAAAGGGTACCCATCACATCAGCAAATTAATTCCTTGTGATTCCTTGTGATGAGGTAGTGGTGCACACACTCTGAAAGTGGTAGACCAGACACCGCATCTTCTTACTTCATAACCTTGAATAAAAGGCAAATCTTTGGCTTTACGCTGTTCTGAGGGGAGGCGGGGAGGGAAGGAAAGGGGAAATGGGGGAAGATGGTTGGTTTTTATTGTCACTTTTCTGCTTAAAACTGATGTAGGGCTTTACATTTAAACTCATTTGGAGAGTATATTTCTCCAGAGATAATTCCTGAGAGTTTTCCAGCAGTTTTGTTGCTCCATTTGTATTTAATCAAGGGTAAAGTAATTAAAGAAAAGAATGTTACCATAAAAAAAATCATTAGATATAGTCTACCATTACCTATTTTTAAGGCTTTGTTGAAAAAGGATACACCCATCACCTTAAAATTGTTCATTTTATGGGCTGGTTCAAATTGAATATAGGATAATTAGAATTTTCATTCTCAGTTTTCCTTTGTAGTTAAGTTTAATTATTTCAACTTTTTAACCTGTAAGAAATTTCTATTAATGGTCTATGGTATGTTTCCAGTACTTAGCTCATTTCTTAAATGGAGAAGGTTGAAATTATCTAAGCCAGGATACCAACTTTTTCTTCTACCCCCAAAGACTCTGAAAACTGCCTTCTTACACACCAAAAAATAAATCCTATTGCTATAATCCTAACCTCAAAAATTCTTAATCACACTGATTGTTAATAATTTTATTCTAGTTGCAAAATTAGAGTTGGTCTCTTATACATACCATATTTTATGACCCACTAATTTTACAGTTAAAACATAGGTTTAGGCCTATATTCGCTGTATAAGACTACCCCCCACTTCCAAGGCAACACCAGTTCTTTTTAAATTAAATTTTTAATGAATGACCCCCGATTTTCGGTTGACTTTTTTTTGTTTCAAAAGTCGTCTTATACGCCGGAGAATATGGTAATTTTATTATATGGAATTTAAATGCTAAATTGTGTGTATAAAATTTATCTGTATTTTTAATAAGACTAGAGAGTAATGTAGTATTATTACATTTAAAAAATAACGAAAGGCAACTGTGACAATTGTTAAGTAGGACTTTTTTGCACAAGAGGCAAGGGCATTGTCTTTCCCCTGGGCTTAGAGATATTTGGCTCAGTTAGAAAGAAGTGCATATAATTTTGAATTTTGAAGGAATGTAAACTGTGCAAAAAAAATCAGTGTTTTTTTTAATTTGCATAAAATAACTGATTTTACACACATTTAAACAGGGCATCTAAAAGTAACTATCGATATTTTGATAGTTTAGTCAAGAAACCTTTATTGTTGTTAATGTACCAAGCTCAAGATATTTAGTATGAATTTGGTAATTTTCTTCCTTTCTGAAAAATAAATGTAAATGGACTTCACTAGCAAGTACTCGATAAATATCTGTTGATGCATGAGTCAGCAAATGAATGAGTTGATTCTCTGCAAAGTATAGATTTTTCGGAATGATCCAGGGACTGACAAGCTCCATCTATGGGCCTGCTGAAAAGCCTTTGGTTGAAAAGCTCAGGGACTAAGCATAACCTAATGGTTGAGACCATGGAGTTCAAATTGATGGGCAGTTTTATAAACTTCTAGGCTTCCGCTTCCTCGGCTGGAAAGTGGTGAAACAGGACCTCTCCTTGATGGTTGGAAATGGTAAATGAGATCCTGTGAGGAAGGACACATAGAAGGGACTGCCAGGTGTAAATGCTCAGGGAATGGTAGGAGCTCTGGTTTTGATGGCGCCATTTGTGGTTAGCTTTTTTTTTGTTGTTAAAAAACACATTCTTTTACTTACTTTCATTGATGGGTAGAGGAACACTCAGTGTACCTGTGGAGATGGAGATCATTTGCTTCAAATTGAGCTCTAACTAATATCCTTAAAAAAAGAAAAGAAAAGCATCAGCAGACTCTATGCCAAGAAGTTCTCAACCACTCACTTTCTGATGATTGAAAATCCTTTTATTTCTCACTTTCCGTGAAAGGGTAATTTCCGTTTAAGGTGTCCTCCCTTGTTTTCCCCCCATGAACTGTGGAGGTTCTTGGCCCTGGGTGCCTGGAGCTGGCCGCTTCTGTTCAGATGGGGGGCAGCAGTGCCGGTGCCTGGGGCCCAGCTCTCCGTGTGTGCTGTGCCAGCACAGCTGCCGCTCCCACTGAAAACTGACTTGGGTGAAGTACAAGGCCTGGAACATGGTGCAGAACATGAGACTTTGATGAGGTGAAAGGGGGTATGTTTAACCAAACACACACACACACACACACACACACACACACACACGCACACGCACACGCACACGCACACGCACAAAGGTTTTGAAGCATCACCAAGTAGGAGAGCGTTTTCTGTGGCTGTACTTATCAAGGGAACTATTTACATTTCGTTTGTGGTTTACATTTTCATCTTGGTAGACAACAAAAATTCACTGGATGGTAGAAACTATTTTTAACCTAAATAATTTCATTATTGTGTAGTGTTTGGAGAAATCTTTTTTTTCTTTTTTTTTTTTTTCTTTTTTTTTACTACTTTACCTAAACAGCAGATGAGTTTTCTTTCTTTGATAGATGCAAGGTTCTCTACCTTCTCTCTCTGATTATATGCCACAGAACTTTGCACAGTTAAAAGGAAGCTGTAGGGTCCACTGATGAGTTAATCAAGAATACTATGGGGGTGGGGAGTTGGTCTATATTTACTGATAATTTTTTATCCAAAACCTTTTTATTATTGGTAGTGTTTTTGTCCCTAAATGATAAATTGTAGAAAATTATTTGCATTATAGAAGTATTAGAGGCTGGTGCACGAAATTTGTGCATAGGGTGAGGAGTCCCTCAGCCTAACCTGTAACCTCTCACAATCTGGGACCCCTTAGGGGATGTCCAATTGCAGGGATTGGACCTAAACCGGCAGTCAGACATCCCCCTCACAATCAGGGACCTCTGGCTCCTAACCACTCACCTGCCTGCCTGCCTGATTATGCTTAGCCACTCTGCCTACCTGCCTCATTGCCCCTAACCACTTGCCTGCCTGCCTGAATGCCCCGAACCAATCTACCTGCTTGCCTCATTGCCCCTAACCTCCGCTGCCTGCCTGCCAAATCACCCCTAACTGCTCGCCTGCCTGATCGCCCCTAACCACCTCTGCCCACCTGCCTGATCAGTTCTAACCACTCGTCTGACTGCCTGATCATCCCTAACCATTCTGCTTTCCTGTCTGATTGCCCAACCATCCTGCCTGCCTGCCTTCCTAATTGCTCCTAACCGCCTCCGCCTTGGCCCCTGCCACCCTGTCTTCATCTGGAAGGACATCTGGAATGATGTCCAGAAGGTCATTTGACTGTCCGGTCTAATTAGCATATTATGCTTTTATTATTATAGATAATATAGATTATCTGCATATAGATTTTAATAGTTGTTTTTCCAAGTGCTTTCTTAAAATATTTTTTTAATCAGGCCAAGATTGTGTAGTACATTAAAGGAATTCTTAAAAAGCTTAAAAACTTATTAGATGACCTCAGTATGGTCCCAGTTAACATACCCCTGGGAACATGTGCATGAAATACATTGTGGTTTGAGGTTTTCCAACCCAAATAAACTTAAAAAGAAAATGCAGCTTTTAATAGAAACTATTCAAATTCTTGCAAAAATAGGTATGGATTTCACCACTGAAAGGGTTTAAAAGCTTCATTATCAACCACGAGAATCTAAAGAGAATGTGTTATCTTGCTTTCTGTATTTTGCTTAAGACTGCATGTTTGGCGATTCTAGTGTATTACTGTCTTTCAATGAACTGTTCAATTAATATGTATCTATATTTATTTAATATATCC